GTTATTCTTAAATTTATAATATAAAATAATAAGAATTATTATTTTTATTTATTTATGATGATTATTCATATAAAAAAACATGTTATGTCCTCCTGGAATTCAAGAAATAAATTTATATCAACATGCACATTGATATCCATTACATTTCATAGCAAAAAGCAGTTCCATTAGTTCAATAAGCCAAAAAAACTAAAAAAACATACTTAATTTTGATATTATGATTTCAATAAAGTTTTAGTATTTTAGAATTGGATTCTAATGTTATGCTAAAATTATACATTACATAGATTATTGCCTTTGTAGATTAAAAAGAACTTCTTCTAAACACAAAAATAGTTATTCTTTTGTGAAGAAGAAATATTATAAGAACAATGTTAGTTAAAAGAATGATAATTAGTAACATGTAGATAGTTTGCTATAATTAAAAAATTATTATTAATTTTTTTTTTACCTCACTAATGTTGAAATTTGATTATTATTATTGGGTGTTGTAGAGCTCTTCTACAAAGATTTATAAAATACATAATCATAAATCATAAATTTAGTAAATTCAAAAAGAATGGTAGAGATAAACAAAACTTCAAACAAAATTTATCAAAATTCAGAAGCTTATTATGTCTTGTCACTCAAAATGCGTGGAAATTTCTTCAGTTTTAAGCTTCAAGTTCAAACCGACAAAGTCCAACCATTACAATTCTTATCTCAATCTTAATTATATTCCAAAAAAAAGAAATTAAAGGGAAAAGATGTAGAATATTCATTTATTCTCTTTTTTCAGTAATATATTTAAATAATAATACAATCTAATGTTTTTTGAATCAAAACTCAAAAGACCTTTACTTGGTATTTAAAAAATAACTTTAATGCATACATAAATATAGTAACAACAAAAGTGTTAGGAAAATGTTTAATTACATTGATTTTGAAAGAAAGTTTTGTTATTTATATGTGTTCCAAATGAATTTATTTTTAATACTATACTTATTTTTAATAATAAAAAATATTGAAAATTAACTTATATGCTTTTTTTAAGACAAAAATAATACATGTGAATATTTTTAAGATAATATAAATTAGTTTCCAACATTTAAGACGTTGTTAAAAAATAAATTCAGAATAAATGATAAATAAAAGTTATTTTAAATAATAAATTTTTGTATATATATTTTTATATATGATTTTGATTGTAACATTTTTTTATTTTTTATTTTTTTTATGTGAAACTTTCTTATAAGAAAAAAAAACATCTTTGAAGATAACCAGAAAATTATCATTATAAAGGTAATTTTAAATATTTAATCACAATATGTAGTTAATACAAAAATATCAAATGACTTCTTTTTCTGTTTCAACTTTAAAATAAACTTTATAATTAACTAAATTAAGAAAAAAAGCTAATTATTTACAAGCCACATATTATTTGATCCATCAAATATATAACAAGTTCTTAAGGAATACAATTACTATATATATATATATATATATATATATATATATATATATATATAAATTTTTATTTTCAAAATACTAAGAAAATTTTGAGAAATTATTATTTTCTCTTGAAAAATATGAATATTAACAATGGCAAAGAGAGAGTAGGAGAAGCGCAGGGAATACAAGAATTTGGATGTGGACCAGTGCCTGCATGTAAACCCACATAAAAATAGAAATAGGGGAAACTCAACTGCCCTGGTAAGTAAGCTATTAGGGAGGGCAGTGAATTTAATTAACTAAAAATGATTGGGTACTCATTTGAACATTCCTTTCTTCCCCACTAGACACTTCCCACCTCCCCCAACTGTCTATGATATATATATATATATATATATATATATATTAAGGGGAAAAATAAGTTCAACCCAGTTGTGGACAAGTTTTGTGCCCCCTCCCTGCTTCTCCTACTTCCTTGTCTTCCTCTGGACCTAATATACACTCCCTCTATTGGGGTTTACAGCTATATTTAAGAGGGACCCATGTGGTGAAACACCACAGATGGAGACAAAACACACAAACACAACACAACACAACACTGTGTCTCTTGAAGGGGCCAAGGCTGCTGGAAGCCACACACAGGATTCAATAATTAGGGCTGCGCCCCACAGGACAAGACCTCTCAGAATTAGGCCTCTGGGGAATCGCAAAGGAATTGGGGACTGTCTGTCTGAGCATATCCTCCCAAGTATGTGTGTTCCAGTTAAACTCCACTGGTGGTGTGAACATATTTGTTTCCTTTGCGGCGTAATTGTAGTTGGCACTCTAGTGCAGAATGGGCTCTTTGCTTTCTGCGACAATTGTGGCTTTTAATTCCACAACAGCAGCATGTATTTGTCATTGTGTTTGGTGCCATAACCCTAATACCACCAAATTTGAGCCCCCAAGCCCAGTGAGCTTTGCCATGTGGACAAAAAAAAATAGAAGTGTGCTGACTCTTCCACCGTCCATGAACACAATTTGAGATAGAGTGATTTCTCTCCCATTTTCTTTCCTTTGCCAACTTTTTTTGATTATAATTTTTCTTATTTTCTTTTTCCCAAATTGCCTTTTTGCCTTTATGCTTTATGCTTCAAAGTGCTTTTCCTCCAAAGCTGGACCTTGCACTTGGTCAGAGGGCTGGAACTTGTGTCTCTGTGCTCAGTCATGTAGGGGGAGGGCTCTTTCTCCCAAGCCCACACTCTCTTTCCTTAAAACCTTCTGAGTTTTTTACAGGAATGTATGCCAGTGTGGACAAGAGATCATTCCACCATTGGTCCATACCACTTGCCTTGTCACCCTTGGCCATTGATTGATTCACATCTCCGAGTATTTTGCAGGCAAGTTTGGTAGTGCATGTCCAAAGCCAAATAGTGGAGCCAATTGTATTGGAGGTTGGTTGGTTGGTGAAGAATTGGAATTCCAAAACCAATTGACACAACCATACCTTGTAAAACAAAAGACCTTGCAATAAAAAAGACAAAAAGAGAAAAAAGTAATATGTATGGGACTAATACCATTCCACAAAGTATTTGTAAACATGATTTGCAACTGGCCTTCACATTCACTTTTTCCAAGATTGGTCAAGTGAAGGATTTAGCATTTGCATGTGTCCACATGACCTGAATATAAACAACGACAATTTTATAATAAAACGACAGTGAGTGTGCCTCAACAGTTGACTATTGTGGAAGCAATCAGTCATGTGGGTGTGTTGGTGTTGGTGATGGTGGATGGACACATGTGGAAGTGGGATAGGAACAAGGAAAGTGTATTCCACATTATCAATATGCATTGCAGCACTCCTCCTCCTCCTCCTCCTCCTCCTCCTCCTCCAGGTGTGAGTTTATCATGGTTCGTATCATTGACAAGTTTGATAAGTTTGGAACCAGTCTGCATAGTATTCCAATTTAGAATCTCATTCCTGAAGAAGCAGCTAACAAAGATGATTCCTCAATCAGACCTGCACAAAACACCATTCAACCTTCCCCTCTTCATACATCAATTATCTCTTGTGTTGTAGTCAAAGGGCCCAACAAATTCATTGTCCAAATTCTAGTTTTGTGATGTTTTTGATGGTAGAGGTATTCCAAAATTTCAAAACTGTGGAATTTTCCTCCTCCTACACATGTAATTTCAAGAAAAAAAATTTGTTCAATTTGACTTCATTAAGTTTATTTATTTGTGTAATGACAAATCCATTTGCCATCCATGAAGAGTTCTTCAATTTACCAATCCTGTTACAGATTTACAAAGCTCATACTCCAACACCTTTGTTACAGTAAACATTTGAAAAAAAGCACACTATTTTCATTAAATATTGTCACAAGTAATGTTTTCAAAAAGAAAACCCCTTCTTTTTGACAGGCTCATGTGTCAACCCACGATAGATCAAACAAGAAGTTGATTGCTCATGAGTAAAAACCTATGCAATGAATCCGTTTTCCATGAATAATATAAGACAATAAGAGCATTGAACTTGAGTGAACGCCACTCTGTGTTTGATTGATTAACAGAGCAAAGAGAATTGACCACTTGAAACTGCAAAAACGTTTGTTTATATAATAATAATAATAATAATAATAATTTGAGAAAGTTATGAAATAAATAAGAAACATGCTACGTTCTGACAAGAGGAGAAGCAGGCGGCATTCGATGCATGCTACGCAATTAGTCTGAAGCCTCGATAATCAGCATATGGTCTGTCAGCTGAAACTATTTCCTCCTCTGCAGAGCCGGAGTTGGTGGCGGGAACAACAGAAGAATAAATTAAAATTAAAAAAACAAAAAATGCCAACAGGATTCTCTAATGTATTAAGAAAAAAACAAAGCAAGGGGGGGAGACCACAAAAAGAAAGAAAGAAAGAAAAGAAAGAAAAACCAATCGCCACACGGAAACGGATCAGGATGACTCACAATAGGGACAATCCTTTCTCCAGGTCCACCGTCAGCCGGCCGTAATCCGCCGCTTCGCAGGCTCCGCCACATCCAACTGGCTATTCCTCCACTTCTTCAACTTCTTCTCCTTCGTCGTCGCATTACTCATCAGTAGTACCTACTCGCATATCCTAGAGTACACAACGAAGTCAAGAGCGGGGCAAGGAATGGCAAGCTTTCTATTTTCACGACACTCTTGGAAATTGTCACAAAGCAAGTAAGTGTGTAAAAATCGGACGAGGTCCAGGGCAAGGGGAAGAAAGAAGGAAGGAAGGAAGGAAGGATGGAAGGAAGGAAGGAATGAAAGAAGGAGTGAAGAAAAGAAGGAAGGAAAGGAGGAAAGAAGGAAGGAAGTGGGGGGAGGGGGGGTTCGTTACGGCGTGGAATGCGCAGCCTGGCCCGCCATAATTCCAGAGCAGTAGCGCTATTGTCGGATATACCGACCCTCTCGGCTCCCCCTATTACAGCTTCCGGCCTACCTTGCTAGATAGGTACCTACCAAACTAACTTCCAGTCTAGTTCCCGACCTGCCTACCAACCCCCCCGGGTTCCCCGCCTCCCTGACTTGCCTTCATAAGCAACGCCCGATGAAAGGCACGTCTCTTTCCTCCTTCCTCGATCTTCTGATTTGTTGCATGCTACTGGCCATTGATTGTTAGTGAGGTGGTGTCAGCGAGGGAGGACGAGGGAGTGAGAGCGAGAGCGTCAACGAGCGAGAGAGAGTGAGTGAGAGAGGGAGAGAGTGAGAGAGAGCGAGAGGGAGAGTTCTTGAGAGAGGAGTTCGTGAGATTTGAGCAATGTCTGTGGATGATGAGGAGAGATTGAACAGCGGGGCGGTGGTGAAGAAGGTGAATCGGGAAGGAGTGACTGGTCGCGGGATTATCGTTGAAGTCGTGGAGGATTGGAGAGAAGATGACGACTACGAGGATGGGGTCTATGACGATGGAGCCGGGGAGCTTCTGTGCTTCTTGATGGACTTGCAGGCCGCGGCGATGGGCAGTTTCGGTGGCGGCCCTGAGTTTGATCCCAAGTTGTACGTTGACTTGCCTCTTACGACATCGTTGGAGGAAACCGAGGCCGCGTTCGGGTCTCTGCCGAGATGCCCGACTAGTGGATCCGTGGAAAAAGGTGATGGTCTTAGCTGGAGAGTCCATGTATAATTACGTGATCGTGGAGGATTTTTTTGATTTCTTTTGAGAAGATGGAGGTGTTAAGGGCCTGGAGTGTAGTTGAGTCGGTCCGATGGAGGTGACGAGTCTAAATTTTATGAGTCAATTGTTATAGGCTACTGGACAGTGATGGCTCGTGTTGTGGAGTTTTCTGCCGATGAGTGGTAGATTGCTGATGGAACAGTTTTCACGTGTCCTTCGTTAAGTCGATGCAATCGTGCTTGGCGTGTTTTATATTTCTGGAATGGGCTTCGAGTTTGCGACTAGTTTTTCGGATGCGGATTAGGATAAGAACGAGACCCGTTGTTTATCAATTTCGGCGGCTGTCAAATAGAAGTCACTGTTGAAGAATTGCAGTGGACGATTTTGTATTATATTGGGAAGGTGAAACTAGTTTTTGGACGTACGTTTTTTTTTTTTTTTTTTTTTTTTTTTACGGGACAGTGGGACTTACCAGCGGAGATATTTTGTCTATTGCTGTAGACGTGATCTCTTCCAGTAATCTCATTGGTCATGGATCTCAGTCCACTGTTTAATTGTCCCCGCGGTCTCCTATAAGTTTCAAATATGGTCTGGAAACAGTTACGTGAAACAACCTGGTTAACTCTGACGCGGATGGAGGAAAGTAAAGTCTGCGCATGCATAATTTAGGCGGGGAGTCTAGTTGTATTGCATGTATAGGCGTGAACAGGATGAAGCAGGGACCACATGTCGGCAGCTTTCTCTTCTCTGGGCCTCTTTGTCAAAGACGAATACTTCTTCCTCTGTCGCCAAGAGGCAGAGCTCTTTGGTGATTTAAATAGATTTTTTCTAGAAAAGAAGTCAAGAACTTCTCAGTTAATGCATGAAAAGATACTTTCAGGATTACAGGCTGTCATTCCCAGGAAGAAGAGTTCTTGGAGTATGCACACGACAGCAGCGTGTTCTGCAAAGTCCTATGCTTTTGCTATCTTCGTGTGGTGTGGTCTTGAGCTCCCTGTCATGGCTATAAATTCGGCTTTTGGTATTTCATAAGCATGAGCACTAATTTTTATGAAACTGATATGATGCAGACACACTCAAGGCATTTTTGAAGGTATACTTCAGTGAAGCTGGGAGTGACTTGATCCCCTACACACCGGTGGATCACCTTGATAACCCTCCCGACTTTCTTCCTGGAGTGCGAAACGCAGATGCGCGTGATTGGGGCCTGAAAGTTCATTCGCTATGGCCGTCTCTTACTCGCCTTGTTTCCCCTGCTGTGGAGAGGGAGCCAGATCAGCATACCCTACTTCCACTCAAGTATCCTTTTCTAGTACCTGGCGAGCGGTTCCGGGAGGTTTATTACTGGGATAGCTACTGGGTCATCAGGTCCGTCTTCTCCCCCCTGCTCCAATTGAATTTTTTCGTGATTTATTCTGGCGATTAACCCTCCCTTTTGACCATTAGTTTACATATGGCTGGCAACTCTGACCTGCCAAGTACTTAGTAACGAAGAGAGGTGCATCGTGATCATTTATTGGAGAACAAACTCTTTTTGATTTTCTATTTCCTTTTATTGTAAAAGAGAGGGGCTAGTGACGTTAATCAAATATTTTTTTTAGTGCGTCGACAAGCAGGGACGTCTTTTGTTGTTCCTACGTCAACCGAATTCTTATCTTCGCTTGACAATGCGAAAGCCTCGCTCTCCAATAACGCCCTGTTTTAGATTATTGTTATTTAACTTCATTCCCCTCTGGAAAACGCACTAATTGCTACACATCTAAGTCTGAAAATGATCCAAAGTGAGATTTACAGCGATCCGCTGTTCCAGCCACTTCTTGCTCTCTGCTTGTTTCTAAGATTGTCATCTACTATTTGAACAGAGGTTTACTTGCGAGCAAAATGACAGAGACAGCAGCAGGAATGGTAGACAATTTCTTGTCAATAGTCCAAGCGTATGGTTTTTTTCCAAACGGCACACGGACATATTACGAAAATCGCAGGTTGATTCTCGGCTCATACCTTACCAGATGCAGTGCCTTTCACTGAGACAAATACTTCGAATGATCAATCCTACTTGCTATTTCTTGCGGTTGGATGACTCATTCGTTTACATTGTCAACTTTCCTGAATATTGGTATCTTAGAAGTGTTTTTCTGTGTTTTTTGTGGAAGGCAGCCAGCCTCCATTTCTCAGCAGGATGGTGCGAGCAATATTTTCTGAAACTGGTGATCTTGGTCTCGTAGCACGAGCACTACCTATTCTTAAAGTTGAATATGAGTTTTGGACCACAGGTGACTTTGCTGTATTCCTTTTCAAAATTAGTTCAACTGTTAATTTGAAGCGTCTTCAGCGTTAAGTAAGCTTAACCAGCCTACTATCACTGCGAGAAATTTTCTGATTTTAGTGATTTGTGCAGATTCTCACGCGGTATCAATACGAGACGGGCAAGGACGTGTTCATCGGCTTAGCCGTTATATTGCCCATTGGGATCAGCCGCGACCTGAATGTTCCACCATTGTAAGCTCCCGCATGAAACCTATACACCGAATTGGTTCCTTTATGTTTTGAAGCCTTTCGTACAGTGCCTATGTGGGCTTCACATTCTCACATGTGTTACCATTACATGCTGATTCCTTCACGAAATTATAGCATGTATGAATTTGTGAATGCCTCTTTTCCTAATATGACGATTATATTGTTGCAGGTAGCATAGCATTCATAATTCATGGCTGCTCACATCTTCTGCCCAAGGACTTTGTAGTCCTAATCTTTCGTTCTAATTCCAATATTTTTCTCTGGGTTTGCACGGTGCGCCCACAGAATACCAACCACTTCTGGCTGAACTATTGTGATCATTCTGACTCAGGATAAAAGCATTGCCGGAGGCTTCAGTAAGTTCAAGCAACAACAGATCTATCGTGATATTGCTACTGCAGCCGAGTCGGGCTGGGATTTCAGTTCAAGATGGATGGAGTAAGCTTTACCGTTTTTTGCCTTATGAGGGTCTATCGTATCGTCTACGTTTAATTTCGTCCTTCTTGTACAGGATGAGTGTACATGTTTAGCATATTGAACAGAAATACTGTTGAATGTGTAATTGTCACATACCACCCAATCAACCTGTCTGTCAGCTACAAGTTATTGGTAGTATCCATGGTAGCGTTGAAATCAGGTGTTACCCATAGCACCTGGGACTGTACAAGTCCGGTTCGTTCTGGTTCGGAAAACTCCATCTTTATCTGATTGGGAATTTTATTTTCTTTTCCCATCACTTGTCAACCAGGGACTCTGAGCAGTTATCTTCCTTAAAGACTTCCTCTATCGTTCCCGTGGATCTCAACGCATTTCTTCTTCAGGTATATATAAGCCCTGCGTCTGAATTACTCTGGAAAGAGGATGAGATATGTTTATCATGGAAAGCTTACAAATCTTTTTTCAATATTTTATTTTACTTTAAAAAAAATTAATTTGTTTTCTTCCTCCAGAAAAGCATTAGCAATTTCTATTTCTGAGGAACAAACAGATTTTCTCACTGGATTTTCATTTTGGATTGAGTATTTTTAACACTTCATTTTAATCTAGTCATGGTACTGTTGTAGCAAGAGTGAATATGAGATCTTACTCATCTCATCTGAAGGAAGTTGACGGTGCTGTTTTTCGATGTCAGATGGAGCTTGACATAGCTTTCCTGGCAAAAACTTTGAACGAAACTCAAGATGCTAAGCGTTTCACAAGGGCTGCCGACGCTCGTAGGAGAGCTTTCGAAGCTATACTCTGGAACGAAAATAGGTGTCAGTGGTTAGACTACTGGCTCCCCTCGCAGAAGTCTGTACAAGGAGGAAAGGTACTATCTCTTGTGAAAAGCATACTTGCATTTGGCTTGTTCGAGCTCACGACTCTGATATCTTGTTATTCGTCAATGTATTGCAGTACCTCTACATGTGGGACAGCAGCAGATCTAACCGAAACACATATGCGTCAAATTTTGTGCCTTTGTGGTGCGGCGTGCTTCCTCCAGGTCAAATCCCTCAACCACTTCAGGAGGACGAAGGAAAATTATCGTTAGAACTTGTGAATTCGACATTATATATGTCTCTGCAGATGACCTTTCGAACATCTTCAATTGACTATTACCTTGTGTCCTATATACAGGAGACGCAAAAATTGATCAAGTAGTGGAGGCTTTGTCCGGGTCGGGCTTAGTAATGCCTGGAGGAATAGCAACATCCCTGGTGGAGACAGGACAGCAGTGGTTTGTTCTTTTCCATCCCGATATAGTTCCATCATGCGTACATGATATGAAAGACATGCTATGTGTCTATTCATATTGTTTTGGTCGAATGTATCTTACAGGAGAACCTACTACATATTCTTACGTATCTGGGTTGTGTTCATTTCAGGGACTTCCCTAATGCATGGGCTCCGCTGCAGCACATGATCATCGAGGGGCTTGTCTTGTCAGCTTCTCCTAAAGCAAAAGCGATGGCTGAGAGCATAACTAGGTCTTGGTTGCGATCTAATTATGTCGCATACCAACGTGTTGGCCATATGGTTGAGAAATACGACGCAAGATATTGTGGGGAAGTTGGCGGTGGTGGAGAGTATATAACTCAGGTAAAAATATTCGCTTCTTTTGTTTTGTCGTGGTTTATTTGTAACCTCTTCCAGATCAGATCAGGTACTCGTTGTGCTTGATGATATATTTATGATGCTAAAGCAATGTAAGCTGAAGGTTCTGAGTTCTCAAGTCGATCATAACCCCTGCTTCTGGTGGTCCACAGACAGGATTCGGGTGGACAAATGGTGTCGTCTTAACACTGCTGAACGATTATGGATGGCCTGAAGATGTGCCACTTGACTGTGATTGTGAGTCATTACAACTATAGCTAGCTGGACAAACGCAAGGTCATCTTGCCGTAGCATACAGTATTACAACAGGGTTACTTCTTTGTTACATAATTGCGGAATCAGGACTAGCTTGACTTGCTTAGTACCAACATTTATTTTTCAGAGACTTATTGAATCCCTTCACGTAACAAGACGATGAAGTTTGTGCGCCTTCTACTGGAAGATTAAATGCCAGCTTCTCCGAGATGGTTACGTCATTTTTGTTCATCTTTGTCAAGTTTATTAGAAAATCATTGATTCGTGAGTGAAAAAGTATGAAAAACAAAAAAAAAATCCATGTTTTTATTGAACTCCATGAAATTCAGATAACTATTTTACCTAAAATTTGTCCAATAGCTACATCTGGTTGTAGGATCTCCATGGAGTACTGCGCAAACAACTTCCGTTTCCAGTGATTGTGTTACTTAGCAAATGTTTCTGCTACTTCACCCTTTCTTCCATGTTTACAAGTGTAGTGTAGACACTAGATACAGCCACAAGTACATGATTTTGGTTCAGTTGTATCTGGTGGGTTCCTATTGCATAGGCAGCGATGTATGGAAATAATGATACTTGAACCTGTCGCAACAACGCCAGTGGGGAATTCATTTCTCACAAAAATGGTGATATTTGATGCTTATGCTACAAAACACATTACTGTAACGCAAACTTACACCAATAAGTGATGTTTCCAATGAGGAAACTAGTAACATCCTCGCGATTGGCCATTCCGCACCATGAAAGCACTAGTGTGAGTTAGAAACAACTTGTAATTAGATTAAAATGAAGCAAAAGAATTATGTCTCCCCGGCATGGAAGGTTGTTAATTTGCGAAATGTGATCCAATTCTCTGCTCACATGCATGCGACGTCGTCTGGAAATGAATTGTAATTTTCTGGTTGCAATCTTGATTGTTAGTGCAGCAATGGCTAGATTGAGTTCACCGCGGCTGCTTTCAAAGAGTTTCGATGATGTGTAAAGGGCTCGTGAGGTGAGTGAAGTACTGAGATACGTGATCGGAGTGCCTACGGAGGGATTTTTTTCTAAGGTCTGATGGAAAAGATGGCTGCCATGCAAAGGTCAGTTGCCGTCGACGTTGGATTTGGTTTTAGTCGCGTCCGTATTCAATTGATTGCCAGGTGACGGATTGTGCAACAAATATTTCGTACTATCCGTCACCTGCGTGGGATCTTGTGTGTACGCAGAGCTTGCACTGTCCGAAGAAATGGCAGAGAGTATCAATTGGCGAACTATGGTGCCCCCCTCCTTCCTGCGGACAATTGACCACTCGTATCGGCGTTTGGTACTGTTAATGTTGGTGCACAGGTTGTTCAGTCGACGGGGGCGGCGTGTGTTGCATTCTAAAGGAGTTGTACACATGCATTGTTTTCCTGAAAAGTGTAGGGAGGGAGGGTGTCGTCAACGATGCCGTGGGGACGAGTCTTGAAAATTTTGGACAAGGAAGCCGTTCCTCCGTTGAGCCATGTCGTCAACGCTCTGCCAACTGCATGGTTGCGCCCCTGCGTTGGTACGTTACAATATATTCTTGTAAACCTTTGCGAGGCGCATAACTATTTTCAATCTGTTAGTTCCATAAAAGAATTTGGGTCCAATTGAAATGCTTTGCTTAGATCAAAGTAGCCGTGGGAAGGTGAAAGTCTCCAGAAATATCTTCTGCTGCTTTAAAGCTTTGAGAGGGGTGGTGGTTGCTGTAACTGTTTCCTGTGCTTGTGTAGACTTTGGGAGAAATTTGCCTAAAAGAACAGACAGGAAATTGACTGGCTGGGAGGTTAGACGTGATTCAAACTTTTAGGAAAGACGAACTTAAAGAAAAACAGATCAATGACGGTGACGATGTTTGTCACGGTTTATCTTGTTAGTTTGACAAATGCTGTTGTAGTCAGGGGTATAAAAATGACGGCGCGCCGTCTGTGCGGCATCCTGATGCTTTGAGTAAACCGTTGACATAAATTGCAGTCGAGAAGAGTGCAACTGAATACGACCAGGTACTGGTGCCTGTCAATTTATTTAATGGGATTTAATCGCAACTTGTACGAGCGAATCTTGATAACCTTGCATTCCTGTGATTGGTGGACACACAATTGTCGAATTGCCTGGCTCATGCAAGCTTTTATTGTGTCATGCACAATGAAAACGTGTACACTTCAAGAAGTACGATGATCACGGAATCTTACTTGCAGCCTTCAATTATTGTTTTCTAAACTCCAACGAGCCAACTCTAATTGAAAAAAATACAAAGATAGATTCGCCATTGGTAGGGCCGAACAACATAGTGTCGTGGTTGATCTCGGACAATAGAGTATCGGCGACTGTCAAGAATGGCACGCAGTCGGGAAACATAGACGGCTGTCGAGGCCTTCAAGAGCTCGGGCCACAGGCACCATGCGAAGCTTGGCCCCTCGATTCCACAACCTACTACAGATGTGCCGTGTTTAGTTCCGACAAACAATTTCACTACACCTCCTTCTGGACCCTCTGTCCCCCTTCAAACTTTCTATTGGTGGTCGGGGCGCATTCCTCCTTCCCCTGTCATATTATACAATTTTCACTTCGTTTCCTACTTCACCTTGACCAATCAACCTTAGGAAACTTCATGTAGGTCACCCAAGCTGCCTGAACCAGCAAGATCGTATCCAATTTGAATGCGTCTTCGTCTAAAAACTACGTGCTGAGAAACCGTTTGTTCTCTGAAACAGGATAACAAGTGAATCAGGAGAAATTGATTGGATTGCTTCAACCTTGCAGCATGTCGTAGCCCATGACTACACCGTGCTGTTCTTTGCAATGGATTTGTCACATGCAGACTATATCCAATAGAGCCATTGGTCATTTTCACGCAGAGGATGTTCTCTTGCGCCAACCACAAGCCATGGAATGGTGACGCAAGGAAACCACGACACACACAGAGAGTATTCCGTTTTACAATTGGTGAAATGCTTGCTTGCGTGCAACATCCTGCTGGGAGACGCCCCGGCAACAAAACGGCTCCAGTTGCAACATCTTCTACCCTGTGGATGCTCTTATTACTCGAAATGGCTTCAAGGCTATCGCAAATTATGTTGCCGAAGACTGAATCCTCGGAGCCTTCTTCTCAGGTGTGAGAGCTCAACCATTTCCTGTGCATGTGCTTTTCTTTCTGAAAAAATATGGTGTCGATGCCTTGATTGTAAGGCTCCGTCATTCAGCATTGCTCCTGCTTGGTTTCTGCACAATGTTGGTGTGGATTCTGCACAATGTTGGTGTGGATTCTGCACCATGCTTTTGCAAATAAGTGTTTTGTTGTTTCATTTGGAATCGAATGTGGGTGGTGATGAGTGTGGGTGTTTTTTGAGATTGTTAAAAATTCTTCGGTGGATTTTGATTTTAATTTTTTGATAATGAATGTTGACTTTTAGAGGAAAAGTGGATAATTTGTTGAATTATTTTGGTGGTTTGAGTGTATTTTACTTTGATTTTTGCAGAAGGCTTTATCTCTCAAATTTGTGGTGATTGTTTTAATGTTGTCTTTGAAATATATCATTAATAATCATAATATCAATGCTAGAATGTTTATATAAAATGAATCTATTATAATCTATATAACTCAATGTATTATAACTTGATAACTTCTAATAAATGATAACATTTGTTATTATCTATTATAAAGTTGTAATTATATATTTTTTTATTATTTTCTATCTAATAAAATTTACTAATATATCATATTATGGATATTTATTGAATAGATAAAGAATATTCTATTTTAAACTACCATAATCCTATTTCAATAATTTGATATATTTTGTTTCAAGTTGCAATGAAGTTGCAATAAAGGCAAATGAAGTTGTAATAAAGAGCCCTCTATAGGAGTGATAATTGCAATGAAAGCAAATCAAGTTATAATAAAGAGCCTTTTGCACAAGTTTTTTGATATCAAGTAGTCAATTTGTAATTTGATATTAAAAATGTAATATATGTCAAAACACAATATATCTCAAGAGCCAATCAATGCCTCTTATTATGATTAAAAAAAAATTACATGAATTGTATTGCATCTAAAAGTAATATGAAATTATTAATATAATTGAGGTGATATTATATCAACAATAGGATCAATTTTAGATTGCTATTTGACGTAATACAATTTATGTAACTATTTATTGTGTAAAGTTAAATCTATTAGTTTTGCCTTTGCAATCAAATATTTAAACTTTTGAATGATCTTTTATATAAGATATAAAACACATAAACATAAAACAATAGAATAAAATAAAAAACAACACAATCCTTGTTAATCTTTATTGATTGCTTTAATTAAGCCACTACCATATCAAGGTAGCAATCATGGTAGCCATTTTAGACATAGTATTAAGGATTTTCAACCTTTCAAACCATCTTAAGCCTTTACATCTTTACTAATGTCATCTCAATAACTCATCATATACCACATTTTTTGTATGTTGCTTAAGTAAACAATTCATAAATATTCAACTTGAATTGTTTATAAGTTATAATCCTACAAACAATTGCTTATGAGTAAACATAGGTTGCAATAGATAGGAACCAATAGTGCTCATAGTTTGTCCTTGCACTTTATTTATAGTCATTATAAAAGTAAGTTGAAGAAAGAACTACCTATGCACAAGCATAAATGGCCAATGCATGGTACTTGTTGTAGTTGTGATTCTAATTATGGCTATCAAGTTTTCAATATAGGCACTTATTCTAATATATTTAACAATAAGTTGACAAATAAGTTATTGAATAATTATGTATGTCTTATTACAGAGATTACTTATTGGATCTAAATTGTGTAATAATATCATAAGAATTTTAATTTTTAATACCATAAAGTAGAATTAAACACTCATAGTCATAATGATATTCAAAAACTTAGATCCAAACGTTATTGTTTAGTGATCCTACGAAATAATAATGCTCACCAACAAAAATATGTGTTCATTATTTGAAATGTGGTTCTCAATAATAGCATTGATTTTGTTGACTAAGATATTTTTTAGTATCAAAATGATCTCCCTCCATCCACGTATCCTTGTATTATATAATGGATAATCAAAGAGACAAAAATATTATCAATAAGTATTTTCAATGTAACAAAGTACTTAATCTTTGTAAATAATGCAATCATTCTAACAACTGTTGGCACTATATTTCCATCTATTATGCCAATTACTTCATGGACATCAAGTGCACAATAATTCCTTATAGAAAGCAACCATTTAGTAAATGGTCAAGCCAAAGAATCAAAGTTGTATGTTTTTTGTAAGGATCAATTTATTTGCTTTTGCTTATGTGTATGATCAACAAAGTGATGCAATGATAATAGATGGTGGTAAGCCACGTAAGACAATAGTAACATAGTACTAAAAATCACTACTAAAGACTACCACTTTGCTACCAAAAGCAATATCCAAAGTCTATCAGATCACACAAAGAATAATCAATAATTTTTGGTATATAATAATGTTGAGTTAATACTTCATCTTAAATAATTAGTTTTGACAAATAAATAATCTTAAAAATATCATGGTTAGGTATAACATTGCAAAGAAAGTTACAATGAATATTAAGATAAATCTTAAAAACAGAATGCATTGTATGTTCTCTTGAAAGCAATTATTTAAGATATGAATCTCAAAGGACTAAAAGATTAATATAGTCTTGTATCACTTAAAAAGACTAAATAATCATTCAAAGATGATATGCTATTAAAATAGAATGAATATTTTCAAAGACGAGAAGACTACAGAAATCTTGAAATAAGACTAAGGATTAGAAAGATATTGATGGGAATAAAGAAGACTTTACTCTTGCTTCTATATAAATTGTCTATCTAAAAAATACATGGCAGTGTTCTATAGGACCTTTGGCATGTGTGTAATTTCCAAGATCTGTGTCTTAACTTGTAAGACAAGTATCTTATATGTATTCTTTATTATTATCTTATACTATAAGCTATCGATATGTGCAACACATGATTAACTTGTTGGCCAAATTTTTAATCTATCAATCACCTATAGACACATATAAAGGTGAAATTGTGTCTATGGAGCTTCTAAGAAGCTTTCATATAAGATATTATCAAATTAACTTATTTTTACCTATTCATAATATCTAAGTAATTATTTGAATAAATATGTATGTTTGTGATATTACTTCCTTTTCTAAGGACAAGTTCCATAAGAAGTAGCGATCACATGTTGAAAAAATCCAAAATGTGGCAAATTATATTTGTCTTATATTTTAATTTTTATTTCATTTGAAGGTAGTTGATAGGTTTTTTTAGCCATAGATGATGGTTTATTCTAGAGAAAGAAGACCACCGTGTTATTTGATCATTATTAAGGCCTTCGTAACTTCTTTCAATTAAAACATTTGTAATATCATCAAGAATTGTTTTTACTTCTAATAAAATCACCAAACATTGGGAGTCTCTTTCAAGATCATGATACCAAATGAGTTATATCTTGCTATCTATTCAAAGAAGAACATGTCATTTTCAAAGATCTTTATTTCAATTAGATCGTCTTAAAAACTATGATAATTGCAATGTCTTATTTAATAAATAAGAAAATAATGGCTCTTGAATTGAATCTATTAGCTATTGATTCTCTATTTCTTTAGTACCACAAATATACAAAAACTACAAATAAGGATAAAAGATCAAATGTAATCTTCTCCGTACTGCAATTCTTTTATAATAAAAATTTGCTATCTTTCATCTTGATTTTGATAGATATTATCAATAAAAAATATCAAGCTTCTTTTCTATATTTTTAAGATTTTTGATCTATTTCTATGTGTATTTACTAATATCATACTTGCACTAATAAACAAAAAATTCTAATCTATTTTGGTACTACCTTGAGTCTAAGATTTCTTTGATATCATACTTATGGTTATTATTCACTTCTATAGGAAGAAGTAGCATTTTTTGTCTTCTTCGTATATATATTGTCTTATATAGCTCAAAAAAAGATACATAAGATACAAGATGGATCTTCATAAACTTTAGTAGATACAATTGATAAGCAATTAAATTAATTTGTTCACATATAGGAAATGATTCAAGTCTATGGTAATCCAACTTGTCACAATAATAAATAGACTTGATATTATGACAAAGTAATAATATCTTATTGCTAATATAGAATTGAGGTTGTTCCTTGTAATAAGTATGTACATTTATTTTTTCTTGTTCTTGAGCTTTTTTTAGTTGTGCCTTTATTCTTCCATGTAGCTTTAATAAAAATTTGCTGAATCTTTTGCTATAAAATTATCAACTTTTGAAAAGTCAAAAATATCAAATCAAGGATGATAATCATAATTAACAAAAAAATATGTTTTTTAAGTAAAAGAATATATTATATTATTATAAACAAATTATTCCAAATGTTAGAAGAATTGTTCAATTATCTTGTTGATAGTTGATAATATAATTCAAATACTACTTCAAAACTTGATTCACTTGCTTTGTATGGCCATCAAATTGAGAATAGAAAGCCAAAGGCAATTTTATGTCTACCTTTAGAATCTTGAAAATATTTCTTTAAAATCTTGATACAAATTGCATCTCCATATCAATATAATATCTCTTGATAATCCATGATAGCAATAGATATTGTCAAAAAAACAATTTAGGTATTTCTTCACCTATAATAGATTATGTATTTGACACAAAATGTACCATCTTAATGAATCAATCTACTATCACAAATATAGAATCAAAAAAACTTGAGATTGAAAGATCTATAATAAAGTCTATAGAAACAAAAAAACACAGCTGTTTTAGAATAGATACTGGATAAAAAAGTCCATAAGGTTGATGACAAGGAGTTTTAAATCTTAAACAAATATCATATGATTGTATAAAGTCTTTAATTTCCTTCCGCATTTGAAGCCTCCAAAAATCTCTAGATATTAGCTCCAAAGTTTTATTGTATCCAAAATGCCTAGTTATTGAAAAGTCATGGCGAACTTAAAAAATGTATTATCATGTTTCATCTTTTAAAATATATAATTATTCTTCAAAATAGAATAGATTATTCTTAAATTCAAATTAAAAAGTATCTTGAGATTTGGAAGAATTATTCTTAATATTGTAAATAAAAAGATCAAAGGACATATTTGATTAAACTTGTTTGAGAAAGGTTGAATCAATAGTTAATGTAGATTTCATTCCTTAAAGATGGAAATATTTTGGCTTCAAGAAAATCATTCATTATTGATCAAAAGATGCAATTTTTTCTTTTGGTGCAAATTAAAAACATCTAAAAAGGGTGTTTAATAAATCTTATTATTTTTTAGATCAATAAATGATCTGAATAAAGACATACTCTAACAAGCTTAATAATGATTCAAAAGTTGTGTTGACATGAAGTACCTGAGAATTTTATGATCCGTATATACAATGACTAGATTTAAATCACCTTCTAGATAATAATGCCATTCTTAAAATGAATCTACAATTGTAAAAAGCTCTTTGTCATAGATCTTATAGTTAATCTTAGATGTTGAATTTATTTTGGAATAGAAGGTATTGAATAGACCTTGTCATTTGCATCCATTTGTAACAAAATTACATCCATAGCAAAGTCTCATGTATCTATTTTCATAAAAAATGACTTGAAAAAATCGACATAATATACGATTGGTCCAAAAATAAATGTTGTCTTCAAGGCATCTAAAGATGATTTAATTTCTTTTTTCTACTTAAGTTTTTTTTTACATGTGAGATGTATAAAAAGAACCACAACTTGAAAAAAGTTCTTGATTAAGATTTTGTAATAATTGATAATTTTTAAGAAATATTACACATCTTTAATTATTTTTGGAATTTTTTAATCTATGATAGTTTGAATCTTCTTAAGATCCATCATAAGACCATCATTTGTAATTATGTATCTTAAGAAGTCAACTTAAGTTGTAAGAAACATACACATTTCTATTTTGGCATATAATCCTACATCTTTTAGTTTTTGTAATTCACAATGAATATGAAGTTCATACTTTTTTGTATTTTTAAAATAGATTAAAATGTCATCTAAATAATAGATAATAAAATTATCAAAA